GTGTGTTTCACGCAGTTGCATTTTTATACGCCTGTGTGTTTCACGCAGTTGTATTTTTATACATCTGTGTGTTTCACGCAGTCGTATTCAGATACTCCTGTGTATTTCACACTCCTGTGTGTATAAACACACAGGTGTATAAAACTACAACTGCGTGAAACACACAGTAGTATGACACTTCAACTGCGTGAAATACACAGCAGTATGAAAATTCGGCTGCGTGAAACACACAAACTTCACGCATGCGTGGAGTGTATGGAGTGTACGGGAGTGATTCACGCAATGGTGCGAATAGTCACGGCCAAAAAAAACAGCAATGAAACAATTGTCGGCGCGGTTCCGTCGCAGCGTGAATTAAAAATATGTATTAAGTGAATGGAAGGTATACATATTCATAGGCTAGTTTCGAATTTCGCAGGAAGCGCAAGTAAAATTCGATTCATTCGTCACGGCCATTGTCTCCGCGCTTGGACGAACACGGAAGCTTTATAAGTTTCATTCCGCTGGTTTATTCTGTACTTATTCTCATCTTTAGCATTCACGTCCTCCTCTGGTCTCGTTGCTGTCGTCCGCTTGAATGGAAAATCCGTGATACTTTCGGCGGATTATTCACGGCTCGATGCGTCATTGTCAACATGTTTACTGTTCTACTATTTTACGGGCTAAATGAGGTTTTGGAGGGATTTCTTTTGCTTTAATAAAAAAATCCAGTGTAATATTTTTTGAAGCCAATTTATTCGGCATATTGTGTCATTAGAATATATACATATATATCATTACAATATTAATAACAATAATAATATTATCCTTTAATAAATATATATTTTATTATTATTATTATTATTATTATTATATAGTATTATTGTATTATATATATACACTTTAGGAATGGTACACAAAGTCTATTTATTTCGCGATAAATCCGAGAAGAACCCGCTATCAGTATCGAAGAATAGAATTTCGCAACCTATTTCTCCTTTAAAATCTCACAAATGAATTCTTCAACTCGTTTCAACCCGATATCTCTCACGATAATAGCGCCAGGTACTTGTTCATAACAACACGTCACACTCCCTCTCGCTCGAATCAAGCACACCTAGATTAATATGACACGTGTTCGTTCAAGTTGTCTCGATGAAATAACGAGTGATATTTTTCTCTCCATCTCGTTGAGCCTCATTTCTCCTGTTCTTCCTCGAATGCGGGCATTCCTGGTTTGAAATAAATTCAAATATCGAGGAGTTAATGAACCATCGGAGACGAAGGGAGGAACTGGTGCGTGTCACCAGACGATAAATCGACTAGTCGACCCTGTAATGACTCAATTATCAAACCCTTGGCTCAACTGTTACAAGCAGAATCCTGCAAACTTCCGGTGGAAGATAAATAATAAAAACATCCGGTTAAATCATGTTCTAATTAAGTGATTATCTAAGAAATTAGTTGGTTCAGGGCTCAACGCCATTTTATTCTTGAAATATTAAAGAAAACGAAAATTTAAGAAATTATTTCAAATTGAAAAAATTATTTTTTAAAAATATTTTAAATTGCAGAAATTCTGAAATTGAAGGAATGACTTGTTTGTATTTTACAAACAATAAATTCCTTCAAAAATTAAAAATTAATTATGAAAGAAAATTTAAAGAGAAGTGTATGGATTTAAGAAAATTAAATTTTTCGTGGCATAAATTTACTTCTTTCGACTTCTGCAGTAAAAAAATCCCCAAGAATGAATTAAATTAGAGAATAACCCCCCGCAGATACTGATTGAATCCCAGAGACAGAAAATTCAAGAAAATAATGGAAAATGCGACAACATTGTCAAAATTCCTGCAAACAGCGCTGTTGCCTGTTTTCTTATATTTCCTTGGCGTTCCGGTGGGCGAGTAGCCAGCGATAGATGCCAAAATTCTCGAGTGAAATATTTCTCTTATGTCCGCAGTCCAAAGGCTGTGCACAACTGTCTTTTATTCTCTTCCCTCAATTCTTCAATCACTTGTTTTTCTCGTGAACGTTTTTTTACACTTGTTAATGCCAAGTGAACGGGCTTAATGTAGTCAAAATGAATCAGACGAGTCGTATTGTGCTTCGGTTAATTGAGTAATATTCCTGATGACGTGGGACTCGGGGAGATACAGTGAAAATAAGAGAGGGAGAGTGCGGGGATGTTATCACGGATGGGCTTGGCATCATGCGATTGAACATTGTCGGCGAGTTAATTTCGCTCTTCTTATCTTTAAATTGCAGAAATTCGAGATTTATGTCACTAAAGGATTGATAAAAACTCATTTTACTGGATTTCACGTTTGAAAAAATTGGAATGAGGAACGAAGATTGGGAACGATTCAAAGTAGGACAGAAATTATTAGATAACGTACAGAAAATTCGGACAAAAAATAATTTATCGTATTATCTCAGTTGAAATGGTCACAATCTTCGATGAATTATCACTGGGAGATTGAAGATGACTAGGAGGAGTCAAATATTATTTAAAATTCGGTTTTATATCATAAAAATTATTGATCAAAATTTATTTTACTGCATTTTACATTGCAAAAATTCCAATAAAAAACTTTAAATTGGGAACAATTCAAAGTAGAACAGAGATTATTAGATGAGAAATAATTGCAGACTCACGGGTATTAATTTTATCTAGATCACATCCACAAAATCGCGACAAAAAAGCAATTTATCTTACTATCTCCGTAAAAATTGTCGCAATCTTCGATGAATTATCACTGGGAGATTGAAAATTACTGAGATGGAAAGACAAATATTATTGAGATGTGAACGGTGATACCACAAATTCTGTATTGACTCTAGATTTAACACGTCACGAATTGAAAACAATAAAAAATAAGGAGTGAATAACTGATTAATCCGCGACTTCCACAATTTCTAATTATTCGAGGCAGCGAATAACTCACAATTTCGATGACAATGACGATAAATTCAGAGCTTGCACCATTTCGAAAGGAAAAAAAATGAGAAACATTGAAGTTGTTTACAATTTGTTGTGCTAAAAAAACAGGGGGGAGACGGTGGGGAGTGATAAAGTAATTTCTGCTCTTGAGAATTTTTCTAACGCTGTGGTGTTATCAGGGGCGTCAAGTTGGCTGCCTCGTCATTCGTCGAAGATATGCATTTCCTATTGTACGTGAAGTCACACGAATGCAGAATAGAAAATAATAATAGCACATTAACATGATGTAACTCGACCTATCGATTATGAAAATAAAAAAAATATTGTAGGCGTTCTGCCGATGGAAATGATCTATTTCTCCCTCAACATCTGACGCAGTTTCCCTTTCGTCTGAGGAAAAATTGCCCCCACCCCTTTGACAATGATTAAATGCTTGATTTTTGTTTGAGAAAAAAAAACGGAACTCGTTGGCCTCCAAACAGTAAAAACCGGTTGTACTCGGTTTGCCGTATGAGGACTGCAATTATGTAGGAAATATATCTGAGGAGCCCTGACAGTCGTTTTGGGAAGGACTCATGATTTTTCCTTTGGCCTTTCAGACACACATGCTGCTGATGGACGCTTTCCTCCAGAATAATCGACTGGATCATGTCTCGCAGGTGATGTCATCGCATGGATCTTACCTGGAGCATTTTCTCAGGACACAGAATTTTGTTCTGCGTGGGGATGGACCGTTGCCTTACGATTATCGACATCTTATTGCTATCATGGTGAGTTGTAATTTTTTTTAATGGTGGTGACTGCAGAAACGGGTTATTATTTCAATTGAGAGGATTTTTGCGCATTCGAAAATCCATGCGAAATCATTATTAATTGCGGTTTTAACTCGCGGAAAAAAAAATTATTAAAAATTTTATTGGTTAATCAAAAAACAAGTTCTATTTCTTGGAATTTTTTTTGGGTCAACAGGAGAATAAAACGGTGAAGTGATAAAACGCGAATTGGTAGAGAATATTAATCAAGTTAGTCATTAATTAATTGAATTCATACGAAATAATTATTAATCGTGGTTTCAACTGGATGAGAGTACAATTTAAAATAAAATAATGAAACAAATAGTAATGCAGAGGGAATTCGATCGCCAGTCCGTCGTCCAACGAGTAAGGTCATGAAATGATAAAGTCTCCACCAATCGAGGGTTCACCGAGACCACAATATTTGCAGTATCGAGGGAGAAATTCCTCGATGCAAAAATATCGGACCCTAAATAATCAGTTTAACCAAAAGAAAACGAGGAAATTACAGAAACCCCAGTGATAATACCCCCAATCACCGAATTATCGTAGTTTTTCAATGAAATTTATGTGACGTTGGCGTTAAACTTTGACATTGCGATTCCGTAGAAATGTTTTAATTCTTAGGTGCACTGTTTCCTACAGATCTCGAGGTCCAGAGGTTATCGCGTCACAAAGGAAGGCATTGAAGCCACGTGGCGAAATAAAAACAATTTACGGATTTATTAAAATCGAGAAAAATAGATTGAATAATGCAAGTTTGTTGAATTCGCACGAAAAACGGGTGCGGTAGAGAGACATTTCCATTTACACTGGCGTCAGGTTTCTCAAAACCCGAGAGAAATAATTATTACTCACCGATAAATTGAACTGGCAAATATGTTCAAAGCTTTTCTATTCAACGGGGAAATTCATCAATTTTTTTCTTATCGGACACAGTTCTTTCGCACTTTATTTCTCGTCGTATTCGTTGATAACGTGTTTTCGACAATTTATCGGACCATCGATTGTTCGATATCTCTGGAATATTTGCGAGTGAACATCACGTGAACTTTTTTTTTATTCTCTGTTTGCTAGGCTGTTCGAGTCATTAATTATAAGAAGGGGATTACGCATTTTATAGAATTTTTTTTTGGGTCAACAGGAGAATAAAACGGTGAAGCGATAAAACGCGAAATCGTAGAGAATATTTGTGAACGCTTTTTACGGTTTTTGAAAATTTAACTGTCACTGTTGACAAGTTTATGGAGAAATAAATGAAAACTTGAAGTTTTAATTGAATTACTCCGTGAAAATTCGTAGAAATCAGGAAAATTAAGGTAAATATATTTTAAATTTCGTGCTGATGATTCGTTTTCATTCAGAATACAACAAAATTGGGCAATTCTCAGCTTTTTATTTCTCAAAAACGTGTAATATCATTGAATTTTCAGTAAAATCTGCAATTTCATTATTTTCTGTCACTGAAATTAGCAAAAAATGTCGATTTATGTGTTTTTTAATCACTTCCCACCAAATTAAAAAACCGTACGCCATTAATTCGATACAATCTGACTGGCGCGATCGTTCCAAGAAACGGAGACATTTTAACTCTACATATTGAGTTCACGCAATCCCTCGAGAAGTGACCCGAGGCAATAAAATACTGGTAGTCTTCTTGTGGATATGGCCTTGTTAGCGATCATTGACGCTGCGGCGTGAAACAATAATTCAATCGGTTTATGTAATTGTTTTTTCTGTCATTCGCAGGCCGCTGGAAGGCATCAGTGCAGCTACTTGATAAACCTCCAGAAAGGAGAGTTCCTCCATCAAGGAGGTGATCGTACCTGGTTGCAGGGGCTCAGATCGTTACCAGCTAAGTTGCAGAATCTTTACGAGATCAATAAGATTCTGGCGCACAGGCCGTGGCTACTGAACAAAACTCATATAGAGGTGAGATGTTAATGCATTTAGAAAATTACTTCTTAAATTTCAAGTAAAATATCTTGAAATTTTTTCATTCATTCACACGAAATTTTTATGTATTTTTTTTATCGAAAAATCGTTGAATTGTGAAGTATTCAAGGGAATTATAATTTTCTGGGCCACGTGAACAATTTCCCTGAATGAACGATTTCATGAACAATTTAATCTTAAATTGAATTCAAATTCCTAACATTGAGAATTCAAGTGCAACTATTGCTTAATTTCCAAAAAAATCCCAGTGTGAGGGAATGCTCAGGTGAATTTTAGAATTCATTGAAATAATGTTCTTTTTTCTGCCTTCAGAAATTGACAAAAGGTGCAGATAGTTGGTCACTTGCTGAGGTAGTTCACGCGATAGTCTTACTGGCGCATTTCCACTCCCTATCATCTTTTGTATTCTCCTGTGGTATTAACGAGGAACTCGACAATGTCACAGGCCATCATTATAAGGAGAATGTACAGGACAATAGCAATAATTTGCAACCTGCCAAAGACAAGCTCATGAGCAGTCCCAAAAAGATACCCACGGGCGGTGGCAAGACTGGTAAATTAACATTACAAATTAATTTTTTATGGAAAACAATTTATTGTTGAACATTTTTCATTCTTTTCCTCCTCATTAATTTTTTAATTTGCTTTCTTTTCTCAGTAGTGAACGAATAATAATTAAATTTCTATTGAGATTCATGTTGACATGATTTACTTATCGCAGATAACATCCCGTCACCGCCCTCATCACCGAGTATAGTTGGCGAACAGGAGGTAGGTGTGGAGACCCTCATGGAGAGAATGAAGCGTCTGTCGGAAAAATCAGAATCCTACCAGATAACTCAGGAGGAATTGTCGAAAAGATTTGAGACTGTTGAGACACAGTCCGCAGAATTGGCAGCAGCACCACAGAGGAGTAGTACAGTTATTGATTCTGACATTGGACTTTTCATCGATGATCCCACATTCATATACCAAGACTTTGCCAAGGTAATTAATTATTCAAAGAAACTTCCCATTTTTTTTTGATAATTCATGCCATTTTGCAGTTGACATTGAAAATAACTTCACATGCATTTTCTCCTCTAATTTTATACAATTCATTCTCATTTAATCGTTCTTCTAATCATGAACTAAAGGAATAAAATTAAAATTATTCATTAATCAACAAAATGTTAATCAAAAATCGAATAATCGAATCAAATAATCTCAAGGTTTCAAATGTAATTCAATATTTAATACTTTTGTTTCAATTTTTATCAACAGAGGGGACAATTAAACGACATACCAACGTTTCGTGTTCAAGACTACTCCTGGGACGATCACGGCTACTCCCTAGTGAATCGTCTGTACAACGACGTTGGTAACCTCCTAGACGATAAATTCAAAACCGCCTACAATTTAACTTACTACACGATGGGTACACACAGCAAAGTCGATACATCACGTTTCAGACGTGCCATATGGAACTACATTCAGTGTATGTTTGGTATAAGGCACGATGACTACGACTACAACGAGGTCAATCAGTTGCTCGAGAGAAGTCTCAAGACATTCATAAAAAGTGCTGTTTGTTACCCTGAGAGAGTCACCAAGAGGGATTACGACAGAGTCATGAGGGAGTTCAAGCACAGTGAGAAAATTCACGTTAATCTCATGATTCTCGAGGCTAGAATGCAGGCAGAGCTTCTGTACGCCCTTCGTGCTGTCATGAGGTATATGACCTAATCCTGAGTTAAAATGGAACAAATGTGATTGGGGCTCAATCAGATCATCTGTTGAGACTCTCCTCTAGTGACGAAAGATCAAGAGAATTGGATTGTTTTCGCTGGATTAAATAGGGACAGGAGAGGTTTAAATGTGTACAAAGATAATTGGGGTGAAGATATGAATTATCGATGGAGTTTGGCACTTGAGGGTCATTTGAAGGATTTCCAAAGAGATCAGGGGGAGTTTGGCACTGGAGGAATGAGGAATTTTCGTGGATTTTTCGGTGTGAGAGATTTATCTGTGTTCTGTATTTTAAAATGTGAGGGAAAAAATTTGTTCAACCACTCGAGATCTGAATTTTGAGTTTCGTGAGGAATTTAGCGCTCGTTATAGACGTCGACATTATTTTTTCCAGTTCTTCCTGTTTTTTTTAAATTTGATTTTTTTTATTGAATATTACTCTGTGCTTGTCGCTTGTGGTGGGACAGGGGTGTTCAGGGGGGTGTTGAAAGACGATTAGTGAGACGTTTTGAGCTAGTGACAGCATCGAATAAAAATTAAGTTAAATTATGGGATGTAGGAGAGGTGTAAATTGTAAGAAATTAGGATTTTTTGAATTGAGTGATGGAGGAAATTATTGGAAGTTATAATTTTTACCCCTTATGGAAGAGCAATGGGGCATTCTAATGATTTGTAAATAATAGATTGTGTATTCTTGTACATTCGGCTCGTTTTTATGACGGTTTTTAATCACATTAGGTTCGAGTGGTGCTTCCACGACAGAATTGGATTTTTATTTTTTATTGAAAGCGTTTTTTGCAAAATTATGCTTTGGGAATGGAAATGTATGTTTTTTTCTCGAAGCCATTGGGTCAGTGTTTGAAATTGTGGTTTATTTTGGTTATTTTTTTAATTTTTGTCTAATTAACTATTCAGAGTCGACCGCCAGCTCGATCTTTTAGTGTACATACTTGGAGTGACGATTGAAAGAGCATAAATTTCTATTGTAATAATCGTGAAATGCCGATGGTTAATATGAAATATAATATATCTTTCATTGGACCTGTTGGGGTGGAAATAATTAACATAATCTTATCCTCCAATGGGCACACGTGTAAATAAAAGGGTTATTTGAACGTCTACAATTAATCACCGGCGAAAATCAGAAGTTGTTCGAAAATTAGAGATAATGGGATTAATAATCAACTGAAAGAACAAATTAATTGAAATTTTGAGAACCTTAAATTGTATGCAAACGACAGATGGCAGTCATCAACGAATATTCATGCCTTTGATGTTAGGATTGGAAATCAATTGAACGATTAGAATTTTTGATGTTCTTACAATTAATTAAATCGACCGACAAATTAGAGAAATTCTGAAAGAAATAAATCTTGAAATTAAACGAAAGCGAATAAATTTATTTTGGTTAGTCATTCAAGAGAATACACAGCTGAGATAAAATGAAAAATCCCCGTAAATTGAAAGACATAAGAATTATACACACGAATTAATATTCTGTGATCGCATATTGAATCATATAAATAGAGGAAACAAAAAGATATATATTGTATACATTTACGGATAATGGAGGGAATGAAGAAGTGAAGAAATTTCAAAAATTTAATGAGAAATTGACATCGTCTGTAGAAAATCTTTGTCTGTGTGTGCACTGAGGCAGATTTACGTGTGAAATTCCATAAAAAATAACGAATGAAAACAAAATTTCGACCAATAGCCCGAGACATTGAATTGTCGTATTTTTCAACAGAAAAACCATTTCTACATATCAGGCAGGCTCTGATGTCGAACATTTCAAAATTAATTTTTCACCAATTGATAATTTAGTCACATTTTCGTGAATAATTTTTGATCGTTAAAAGCGGAAAATTCGGTAGTAGCAAAGCGTCAGTATTGAGTTTAAGTTTAATTTATAGAAAAATTTTTACATACTTCTCTTTTTTCTCCCCCCCCCCTCCCCTTCCCCTTCCCAGCAATAATTTCCCCAGTAAATTCTCAAAAACTCCTTTCAACTACTTAATGAAAGTTCAGAATCAGCTATTAAAGTAGAATTAAACGAATCAAATCAAAATTGAGGGAACAAATGCAGAAAGGAAGAGAAAATTTAATCACTTCAATTCAACCATAAAACATCATTCACTTTTCATTGGAGTTTTTGTGGTTTCTAGCTTTAAACTATATTCAACAATAAGTCTCACGAATATTTGTTCACCGATCGCTCTGATTATTGAGTCTCGGTTGCAATAAATTAGCTTAGGCACAATTCAGTGGTGAAATTACAAAAAATTTTGTTAATCGTGATAATATCTCGAGAATGAGAGAGTCTGGGGGAATATTCTCACCCCAACTTCACTCACTTCAGGACAATTCACCAGTTGACAATAACAATAACTTCACTGCTTGATTGATCCATCTCCCATTGCATCTCTTCTCCCCTAATTTTATACCTTTCACTCTCCTCTAATCATTCTTCTAATCACGCATCTCATCAACAATTGTTTTTTTTTTTAAAGATCGGTCCCTTATTGGCATTCTGCCAAGACCCTGTGGAGAATTCACAGGGCGTATTTTTTTTATAAGTTAAGGAAACATAAAACATGAATGAGGATACACGTTCTCTCCAACAAATCAATCACCCGATGCAATGGTATCATTCATCCGCAAATTTCTCAACAAAGAAATTGAGTGATGACGTGCATCCTCATGTAATGATCTCTTCGAGGGACTGAGCGATTAAAAAAGTGAATAAAAGTGTTTTTAACGAGAAAAAAAAATAAAGAAAAATATACCTATACATAAATATAAAACCAAGACACTTGTCTTGTATTTCTAATCGATTTTTTTTCTTTTTTGTACTCAAAGGCACGATGTTGGTAAGCGAAATAATTTACGAGAGAATTTGTAACGATTATTTTTCATTGTTGATCTTAACAAAGGGTAAACAGTTTATTTCGACGATGTAACCGAGTGTCAGAATGTAGAATTAATTTCAATTCCTTCGTATGGATTTTTCTTTTCTATTTTTAAGGGAAATCCCTCAGTGAAGTGGTGAAACGCAACGACTTTGGCCTAATATTCACCACAATTGAATATTTATTGGAGATGTAATTGACTTTTGGCAATTATTCTCAAATAATTCATTATCTAGATAATTTCAGTTTGAAGTGAGTATTAAAAATGGAATTTTTGTGTCACGTTTCACTGATTCACTGGGGAACAGTGGATTGAGACAAAGTTGAACTAAGGCTTGTGTGATTTGATATTTCCACTCGTAAAGTGGGCAGAAAATTCAACAGTTGAAATAGATCGTGATAAACCTAACTCAAATAAACGAAATCTTATTTCTTTTATAATTAAAAGCATTGGAATCGAGCGCCGGGTTCGTTCGACGAACAATTCGACAGAATTAATCGACAATTACTTCATTTTTATAATTTATTCACCGACGAAGAAGAGCAGAGTGTGAGAGGGGAGAGTGAAAGTCAACGTCTAATCATTGCAGACGTGAAAATGAAAATGACAGTGAACTTTCACGATTGTCACCAAAACGCCCTGAGTAGTCAGAACCGAATGGAGGGAGATAAATCGATGAGTTATCACTATGATTGATAAATTCTGTCATTCATGGATTTTTTAGCCATTGAGCACTGATAAGCATCGATCGTCGCCTTCTGGAGTCACAGAACATATTATTGTACTAGAAATGCCACCGAAACCAGAACCGAATGATTGTGTGATGATTTAAGTCACTTTGACATTGGCCCATCCGAGAAAAATCGGACTGGACAGCATAACAATTTCAATTTTAACAAAAGAAAGAAGCGATTAGAAACCGATAATGACGTTGCACTTGACATCAGATCTCCAGACACGAGTTGATTTTTTTTTTCCATCATTTCACCTCAGAGTGATTATGACTCATTTGGAGAATGGGTTTTCAATATCAAAAAGTATTTCTGGCTTCACTGGCTCGATTAAGCTCTGCGGTCATTGCCTAATCCCGTCATGATCCACCAGAATGAGAAACCACAGTTCATTTTTTTTACTTTTTTCAAATTGACTCGTCGGTTTGGGGGTTTGTTGATCGGTGATAGAGGGTTGTATGTGATGTGATTTCTTTTATATCGTAAACGAACAATGAACACTCTAAGAAATGTTATAGTTTCCTATAAACGATATGTTATTTGTCATTTATTTTATCCCTTAATAAATGATGTTATATAAAAGAAAATTCACTGCTCTTGGTTGTTTTATTTTCTTGATATTTTTTATTTCGTAGTCTAGGTCCATGTATACACGTAAAATGACATCAAACATCGAACGATTACTCATCATTTTGGTCATGAAGTGGTAAATGAAGATTAGTTCAAGGTTTGGGGATCGTCTTGTGAATTCCACTTGATTCAAGAGATTTGGGAATTTTTTTTGTCATCGCAGGGGCTACAAAAGTCTTGATATTTTCTCTGAATTATCTTTTTTACCACTTCACTGGAGATTTAATCACTAATTTAAATTAATTATAACAGTTAGCACAACCAGCGCCTGTCGTCGGTTTTATTTACACTCTAGTCTTCATTTACTTCCTTACATCGGCATTTTTGGCTCAGAACTGAATTAGGGAAGTGGATAAAGACGCGCATTGTCGCGACTTTGCAAAATTACTCATTCATTTACCATTGAGCGTTTTTATGAGTGGGGCAGACGTCTGGGCGCACCAGAGGAAATTCCTCAGGGCAAAAGGACGGACAAGCCGTGAAAAATCACCTGAGATCGCGAGAACGTCTCGACTCATTCATAAAAATTTGCTCCTGTAACAGGGTCGACGATCCTCATTCATCATTCGTCACTATACAAAATGTTGTTCGAATTTTTTCGTCCGGTGATTAATGAATACTTTCTTGCGTCCGATGATTTGGCGAGTAAAAAATGATGAAGTGATATATTTTTTTGTCAATTTCCATCGTATTCGTGGGGTACGTGGTGGTGCATATGAATGTGAGCTGGTAAATCTCCAGAGATTCCCAGGCTGCCTCTCTGAAAAGACAAAATTTTATTGTAAATTAGGTTTTTTTGGGGTTGAATAATTAGGTGTATGAAAATTTAATTGAAATCGGGAAAATTTAAAGATATATTTATTTGAATTTTTAATTGATTGGCCGTTTTTTTTTGTATATTATGGTTCGAATGAAATTTCAGGGAATTTCGTCATTGGAAATTGAGTATTTTATAAAAAATTACATGAAAGCTCTGAATTTCAGTTAAATTATTCCATAAGAATGAATATAAATCAGCAAAATTCTGCGTAATTTAGTTCTTAACATTGCAGTTTTGATTGAAAGTTCCAATAAATTATTGAATTTTCATCAAAAACGTGTAAATTTCCGACAATCTGAAATTTCATTTCATTCAATTTTTTTCCCCAAAATCGAATCCAATGTGGCTCAATCCCAGAATATTTTCATTCACCTGAGACCTCATCCCATTTAGCGGAGTGGCAGTGGGATTATCAAGTGTGTAACCAACTACGTGTGTCGAGCACTTTTCACAAGCCTTTCGCCGACGTGACGATGCGCGACATCGTAATGCACGACACAATTCACGTGCCATTTCCGAGCACAGTGATTCCTGATTCGAGTTTTGCTGCTGTGGATTTTGACTGACAGTCTGCAAAGACCCAGAGCACGTGGGGGGCGGCTGCACAGCGTGTGTCTCCTGCAAATGCAGCGGCAACTGTCGTTAAACTCCCCTCAACCCCGAGATTCCGCGGATTAATTCGGACCGAACTTATGAACGTGCAAATAATAAAGAATCATTTCCCTACACTGAGAGAAAAACGACAAAGTTTTTGAATGTTCTCAGCCGCTGAGAAAAGAAAAACAGAATAACGATATCATGCGCCAGCGGCTAATTGACTTAAAGCACGAAATAGCGGTCTGAAAAAAGAAAATTAGAGCCGGGGCTTCTGGCTAGACTCGTTAAATGTACCGAGAGGTTTGTATTTGAAGGGACTCTCACCTTTTATTCCATCGACTCCCCCTGGACTCAAGCTAGTCGAGTTTACATGACGTCAGTCAATGAGTTCGTGCTTTAGTATTCATGCAAACAGAGCACCTAATGAATATTCATCATGCCTTGTGTCAACATAAAAACTATGAGAATATCGCTATTACTTACACGCTCCGATGGTGAATGTCTGCGTGAATTGTAACAGAATTCACATATTGCCACGAGGACAGCGAATGCCAGGCCGCAGAGTAGAACGACAAAAACTCCTCCTTGAAAATGGATAAATGCATGAAATTTCTAAATTTTCCTTTCATTTCGTGAATTTTAGTTCAAAATTTTCACTTCCCACTTCTTTATTAATTATTTTTCCGAATAAATTCCGACGTTTACCATTAAAATTTAAAATTGAATACTAGAATTGTTAAGAATTAAGGAAAAATTAAAACTTGAAGAAAAAAATTGAAAATATTTAGAATTTCCAATTGATTAAGTGTTCACCGATATTCGCAGGGCCCAAAGCATTGGCTTTATTCTCCTTGCCCTTCTCCCTCCTCTTGCAGGTATCCCCAGGGCTCTTCCACCACTTGTCGTACAACATCTGTATCTCCCCCTTCTCCTGAAGCTCGAGAATCGCGAGTGAGATCTTATCCCTCCACGGTGAGCCTGCGTAAAATTTCAACAATTGAAATTCACAATTCACGTGTCTCACAATCAGTGAGTTTCACAATGTTTCAATCGTGAGTACCCATTGGCGTGGCTATTCCATAGCCCTTGCTATCCAGCAATCCCCCGATCTGTGTGAGATTGCAATCTCTTTGGACGATGTAATCAAGCATTGTAGATTCCATCAGAAAGGCGTAATCACCCTGGAGAACACGCTGAATGCCTTCCTCGTACGTTGGCACGAACACCGAGGGCTTCTTATTCTCCATGAAACGCCACATTTTTTTGTACGTTTCGATCATTGAGTCCTGGGGGAAAAATTGAGGAAACAATAGATTGTGGGTTCTTGGACGTTCGGCTCGTTTTTGTGACGGTTTTTAATCGAATTAAGTTCGAGTGGCGCTCCCGCAACAGAATTGGATTTTAATTTTTTATTGAAAGCGTTTTTTGCAAAATTGTGCTTTGGAAATGGAAACGTATGTTTTTTTTCGAAGCCATTGGGTCAGCGTTTGAAATTGTGGTTTATTTTGGTTATTTTTCTGATCGTTAAAAGTGGAAAATTCGGCAGTAGCAAAGCGTCAGTATTGAGTTTAAGTTTAATTTGTAGAAAATTTTTTAGATACTTCTTTTCTTCCCCCCAACCCCTTCCCCTTCCCAGCAATAATTTCCCCTGCAAATTCTCAAAAACACCTTCAACTACTCAATGAAATTTCAGAATCAGCTAAACCCCTCAACTCACTCGAAAAAACGTCATAGTGCTACCACTCTCCAGCGTTCCATACGTGATATCCGTTTGTCCAGCAAGATCCTCAGCATTTTCAATGGGCGTTATCATTCTCTCAACCGTCAAGAAGGCGGCCAGATTAGCCGTATAAGACGATATAATAATAAGCGTAAAAAACCACCATATCCCCCCGACAATTCTCGTACTCGCCGCCTGCAATGAATCAAACTCCACTTTACCCAGGCGGAGGCATCATTTCAGATAAAAAAAAAAACAAAACGAAAGACGGCGCGATGGGGGGAGCGGAAATAAAAAAATATGTGCATTTTAGAAAGCAAGGGGAGTGGCGCATGAAGTGTAGCTAGACAAACGAGTTGAATGGAGTAAGGAAATAAAAATAATGGTAAATGCGATCTCCTCTGCGTCGAGAGTTCACAAGGAGATGGTGGGTTTGTGCACCAGTATTGCAATAGTGAATTGCAAAACGGCACGTTCTGAGGTTTTATTTGAATAAGATGTATTGTATCAAAATGTCTCGCGTGTTTTTTCTCTCCATTCGTGCGCTTTGTCAGGCATTTTTCTGCGGGAATATGGAAGAAAAATGATACAACGGTTTTTATTGGTTTGAGACAGAGAAATTGACATGAATTTTTATTTACGTGGATTTGATTTCCTTTTTAGAAAAAATACTGTCGGAAATTGAGGAGCATTTATCCAATTAAAGTCATTTCCAGTGTCTCATTATTTTGTTCACGTGAAATCGACTTCCGGTAAAATAGTGATTATGAATTTACTGGAATTCTCGTCTCGATTACGAACAAATGATTTTTGTGCAGGAAAATTGATCGAAAATTGATCAATCTAGAGGTCTTCTCCGCTGGCTGAATTATAAATTCTAAAAAAAATAGAAAAACAATTTTTCAATCGGAAAAAATGAATGAAGTGCGATACGCATCATAAATTGAGATCGTTGCGAACACGGGGAATGTGAAATATCAATCACGACGTGTTCGCATATGGTCAGCGAGATAAAAGCCAATTTCTCTCGCATACGGTTTTTCAGTAGTCGCGTAATGGTTTACGGTTTTGTGGCGACGTATAAAGGTATTATGAACTTTTTTTGTGTATCGTTGATGTTCATTCTGCGGAAGTCAACTGAGTGCACAATTATCGGGGGCAATGTTGGTGCATTTTCCCTCGAAAATTCAACGCAGAACAGTTCCCAAAAATGTTAATTTCAATTTTTTTATCTCTTCACCGGTTTTTTTCAGAATTTTCTCCCCACAAACGGAGAATGAATCAATCACCTTAGGGTTCAGATCGCTTCCTTGCTGCATGAGAGTGCCAATGGTGAACCAGAAGCTGTTGGACAACGAGAATTGATTTTCAACAATTTCCGGGCCCGAGTGGCCGTGACAGGGGTGAGGATTATTCCACTCGTATGGGCTGAATCTCGCCACTACAAACATTGTTACTGATACAAGAACGTAGGCAGCCAGTACGTACAGCCAGATTTCGATAGCCAGGGGGTTCATGAAGGAAAATAGCCGCGCCGGATGACTCGTTGGTACCTAAAATAAAATAACGAGAAAAAAAATTGATCAGAAAATTCAAAGAATTTTAATTAACCCTGAAGTATTGAATTCCAATGTATCAGGTATTGGGGCGCGCCGAGGTGAGCTAACAATAATAATGTCTTGATATTGTAAAAATCTGAATCGACTTGTGATAAAAATTTGGTATTCGAAATTAAGATTTCGGAATTAAGGGTCATGAGGGTGAGAATAAGGGTTGTGAGGGTCAGATTAAGGGCCACGAGATGTTCACACAAAAGATATAATCAAAGCACGATTTCCAATTTTACTCACCAAACAAATGATATATTCATGAACTACAATTAGCTGTTTCAGATAATCATTTACAACACTCTCTCCGTGGCATACCAGTGGTGATTTTTTAACTGTTTCAATTATCCTGTGTGGTACAAAGAGCTATTTCCTTCGGCCACAACTGCACGATCACTTTGGAAGCGTTAATTAACAAGCCTAATTGCTCATGCATTTCGGGAGGCTTTAGTTCACGTACTCGTACATCCATTTACGTACTATCGATCGAGTGCACACGTTTTCACGTAAGCGATGCTGTTATCGGGGTTCTCAGTGTTGTGGGAAATTTCAGGATGAGAAAGCTATTTTGTTCGCTCGGACAAAATTCTGATGAGAGTCATTTGGGGATACTATTTGTTATTATTTTATTTGGGTGCGTGAATAAATTTTTTAAGCATTTTTCAGGGACATTTTTTTGAAATTTTTGTCGTGTTTCAGAATTTGCCAAACGTTTGCTTTATTTATTCATTTTTTCATTGAAAAATAAATGAAAAAATGACAATTGAATTTTTTCCCATTTCATCCAATAATTGTGATTCAATTAATGTCTCACGGGCGTTAGAAATGTCCATCTATCGAGTAACCGTCCAATATTCCACAGAGTAGTCTCACTCCACTGATGGATCGACGGATCTGATGGCTCAAAGCTAGGGGCTCCCCAAACGATGATGAACGAAAGCTCTCAATGCCAGTATTAATTGTAATTAATTGGTCACCTTGACAAGGATTCTCCACCAAAGGAGAGTGATTAAACTAATCAATAAAAGTGAATCTTATCAATTACTCCGCAGACATCGATTCTCCCTCTAGCGGTTAATTAGTGGTAATTCCGGAGAATTAATTTTTCTCTTCCATTCCATCTTCCACTTCCCCCTGGAATTGAGAGAGGAGGGAAGAAGGATGATTTAATACTTTTATCCGCATGTATACGGACAGTAAACCCGGAAAATTTCGACCGTAAAGTGTCGTTAGAATTCCCTTAATGAAAATCTTAATTGTCATGTAATTTCGCACGAAAGTAAACCTTTATTGTTTTCACTTTAACGCAATGAAGACTATCAAATGAGTTTATGCCGGTGATTTAAGGTATTTCCCGTAAACAACTTCGTCTGAATAATATTTCCCCATTTTTCTTTAATTATAAAAAAATTCAAAGCCGGGAATAATGAAATTACCGGTGAAAAAACAGCGGCTCGTCGGTATTTTCATCCCTTTGAGGCCAGTAAATCCCGGGAAAATTGAAACACAAAGAATTTTTTTTCACTCTTTCGTATTCTGCTGTTGCCGTCATAAACAAAAGTTTAATGTCAATATTATTCCGGGGAGGAAGGATTACTGTGGGGAACTCACGCAGTCCATCGATCATCCGCTGGAAACATTTGATATTTTTCACAATCTAGAGATTAGCGGAAACTTTCCTGATTCAGCATCATATTTTATTTAAACTAGTCGGTGCAGTTTGAGTTTGAAAGCCATCAGAGCAGATAAACACGCAGAATTTTCGAGCCAAGGTAATTTGTCGTCGGTGGAATGTCAAAGTGAGTGGAAAATCCGAAGTAGAGGGGAAAAGTACTCCTCTTTGGATAGTCAAACGAGCAATTCGCGTCATTAGTGGGGTAATGCCCCGGGGAATTTTTTCGCTGGACTTAATTCATAAGTAACTCGGGAGTTTTTTTTAGATTTAAATTAATTTCGTGAGAGGGAGGGAATTTTTGAGAAAAGGGGCGCCTTTGGCGAGGCCCTTGAGTGGGGGAAATTGAATCAATTTTCTCACCGCAGGTGAGAGAATTGATTGATTAATTATTAAAAATTGTTGAAAAAAAAATTTTTTACTTTAAGATCAATTGAAATTTAAGGATATTCAAGTACTTTGGCTACTTTTTCTTCTGTGAAATCCTTTTCTGCTTTTGTAGTCGACCATCAGAGCTTTTATTTAAGTCACAATGATTTAACAATGATTTTATTATTTAAACTTTACAGGTTTGAATTTGAATCTCGATATTGAACCGTCAAAAAACAGTTTGAAAATCTGAAAAAAAATTAGAAAGTTTACTTTTGGATGAAGGCTGATGAAATAATTTTAAACAATTTATATTTTTTCATAAACAATTTATAACAGTCAATTTTAAATAAATAAATGAATAAATAAATGAAATAATTAATTAATTAATAAAAAATACCCTCAAAAAAATCCTGAGCCACTTACTCCCCAGGTCATGAATTTTCGAAAAAGCGGACAAATGACACCTCCAGATCGTCGAAAATAGTTCTCCCCTCCCCCCAAAAAAATAGCCTCGAAAAAAAAAAGAAACAGGTAAAAATAAAAAAAAGGAGGACATAAAAGACGAGAGGGTCCTCGGTCACGAGAAATAAAAATATGATCCCTTAGCCTGGGCTTTTGCTGGGGCAATTTCCGATGGCGAGGTCAGAATTAAAGTGGAAGTTTATTTAGGGGAACCGGGCTCGTTTAAATGCGCACCGCTCGCCCACGACGAAGGTAATTGCGCGTTCGTAATGGCACCAGTGGCCCCTCCCGTACGATTAAGACAACTCTCAGAGCTCTTCGTATCCTCTGCTCTCCGTTTTTTTTTATTTCATTCTCTCGCGCTCATTCAAACTCTTTTTATTTCTCCCCAGTTTTGAGTCTCTTGTTTTGCACATACCTTGAAGAGAATCGAGATACCGAGGTTCATGAACGGCTTCGTGAAGTCAATCACACTCTCGCGGGCGTAATTTATCGTCATCGATCCAACTGCCAAGTCTGCCTTCTGTAGAAGAAGAAAAGAAAAATTTTTTTAGCGAATTTCTCATTTTTGTTATTTATTGGTTCACTATTACACATTGTTAATTTATAATTGCCATTATTATTGCAATTATTTTGTCCGGTTATTGTTTTCCAATAGGAATAAATTTTATAAAATGGAAATTTAAATTTTATAGAATAATTTTTAATGAATGATTCTAAAGATAAATTAATTAAAACGTCATCTCCGGCTAATCTACTTCTAGCTCTAAACTCTAGCGAAAATTACACTGTGAAAACTAGTGCCTTCAAGACGTCTTGTTTTAAGACATCAGACTGTCTTAAATAGGATGATTTGTTCGTCTGAAAATAAGACGTTCGATAGACATTTTTTATGTTTTAGTTCAAAACACTTGAAGACGGTTCAGTGAAAAAAATAGAACGTTTACTTTTGCAATAAAAATTGCAATTTTTGAATTTTTTACGAGCATTTTCCATAAATAATTTATAAACAATCAATTTTCCACCTTAAAAATCAGTTGTTCGGGATTGTAATAAATTTAGTCATTTAAACAACTTCAGTTACTTATGTATAAAAAACAACGAACGGTTAAAAAAAAAATAATAACTAATAGAAAATATTCATGATTTTTTCAATTTTTCTCACGCAATTTAATTGTCAAATTTGTTCGTAAAGTCTAAATCTACTGAGTGTGTGGAGAAAAAATTGTAAAAATAAAACAGGGACATTACAATTTTGCACCAAAAAATCCTCGCGAAAACCCAAATTTTTAAGACACAAACGTCTTAAAAACAGGAGAAAAACCGTCTTAATTTCAGTCCGAAGATCATTTCAAATTTTCCTGAAAGCTTCATCTGACGCGAAAAATATTTCACCGAGTTAGTACGAGGCTTTTCCCCAGGGTATGGAGTTTAATCGCCTCCGCAGAATATCCAGCGAGCCCCCGTGTGAGAATTAATGATGATCCAAGAAAATTAATGCAACCGGTGATGGCGCACCGGTGCTTATGATGCATCGTGTACCCCCCGGAAAAAAGAAATTAGAATAGGGGAAAAACAAAATAAATTTGCGGAAAATCTCGGGGGGGGGAAAAGGCTCGAAGTGATTTGTCACGCTTGCAAAATCCTTGGGAGTCCACGTGAGAGCCTGAAAGAGGTTTCAGAGTAGCAAAAGGAATAATGGGAAAAAGCAAATGGAGGATGCCCAGCTGTAATTCACGATTTCCATAATGCCCGGCCAAGCATCACCGATAATCGTGCACTCGCCAACAGTCCCTTTCACTCATCCCTTCCATTCCAGGGATTTTTACCGCTTCCTTCAGCCGATAGTGTGAATGCTTCACACTCGATTCAGTTTCTTTTTATCCTGAGGTTTTTCAGAATCGAGTGCTGAAATTAATTGGAGACATTTTAATCTGGGAATTGCCCATTTGTTCCGGAGCACTTGACGTTGTACGAGAAATTCGGCGAAATGATAACACGACTAGACACTGATCGAGTCAAGAGCCTGAGGAAACTAAAATAATTTAGCGAAACGCCACATCCTTTTGTGATTTAATCAACGTCGCTGGGATTCCTCCGACGTCCCCCGAATTTTTCAACTTAATTCGTCGTGATGGAGATGATAACATCCGTTAGTTACTTGTTAATCAAAATTGCCATCTCTGGAAAGTCGATTAAATTCAATAAATAGAAGAAAAGATTTTTTCTGCAATTTGGGGATAAAAAAGACTATTTGAAAAAAGCCTTCTTCATTTGTTGAATGAATCAAATAAATTATTGAATAAAAAAATGAAGGACTATTTGAAAAAATTTTAAAAACAGGAAACGTGGGAAAAATCCGTTCAACGGTTTCAGAATCCTTTCCAGAGATTAAAAACCAGTGGAACCGCTCGATCCCCGCAAAACAAACCCAATAGGATTTTCTCCAGGAGCTTTTTGTATCATTTTTTTTATCGCAAGCTTCTCTCTTTACATTTTTTTTTCCTGCTGACGTTTTGAACAATCCCGATGGATTATCGTCGAAGTGTCGAAATGTTCGGCGAAATAATAATAGATTGATTGAGTCAAGGGTCTGAGGAAACTAAAATAATTTACGTCATTATTATTCTCGTAACATCCCCCGTATTTTTCAACTTAATTTAGTTTGTTGGAGATGATTACATACGTTATTTACTTGTCATTTAAAATTGTCTCCCCTGAAAGTCAATTAAATTCCCCTAAATTCATTAAATTCATGAAAAAAACGATTTTTCCCTCAATTATTCACTAAAAAATAATAAAAGACTATTTTTAAAAATTAATAAAAAATAGAGAACATGAAAAATCCGTTCAACATTTGCAGAATCCGTTTCAGAGATGAAAAACCATTGGAATCATTCGATCCCCGCAAAACGAACCCAATAGGATTTTCTCCAGGAGCTTTTTGTATCATTGTTTTTATCGCAATCTCCAAAAACGTTTTCAATTGGATTTCTCTCGTTACATTTTTTTTCTGCTGAAGCTCTGAACAATCCCGATGGATTATCGTCGCAATGTCGTGTCTGTGCATGAAAGATATAAAATACCACGTCATTTTTTTCCCATAATTTTTCCACAATTTTCTGGAAAAGCGGTTTTTCTCCAGTCCTCGAAGATGTTTCAAGTGAAAATGAGGGAGCACGGTGTCGGCAGCTTGAGAATGGAATCCCCGATGATCACTCGCCCCTTTTTCATGCTCCAGATCTCCTTTATATCCTCACTTGACTCCAGCAGGACTCCAGCATTTTCCTCCCTCCCCTAATTGCAACATCGCCGGTTGATTGCCGGAGGAGAAATTATTTCCTCGATTCATACGCCAGTGCGCGAAGGACTCGTTACCACGAGTTATTCCAAAATTTTTCAACATTCCTCCGTTCGTAATCTCCAAATCTCATTTTCAAGTTTCGTGATTTATCGCATTTTTCCCCCGGACTTATGAATCGCGGGGAAATTAGCGAGTGCTCGGGTGCTCCGAACTTTGGAATATTCACCGGTATTTTTTGTTGACGTGTATTTGCATGATTGTGACGCATACACGCCAGAGTGCGGAGTGTTGGCTTTCTCAAAGTGCGAAACTCCGTCGCACGATTTTCACGTTTCAATGGGGTGACATTATTTGCATTTTAAAATCGACTCGCTGAGGTTTATCGAGGCAATCGAGTTCGTGGATTTTATTGAGGGGAAGGGAGGCTTAACGTGCAGAATTTTTGGATAAACAAGATTAAGGTGAAGGATAATGTGAGTGGATTTGTTGCATCATTTTTTTAGGGGGATAGCTTTAGGAATAATTGAAATAAAATTAAAAATTTCATTGATTTTCCTGTAAAATTTTGAATCTCCAACGAATAAATTCTTCGAGAAATTCAAACTAGAAACTTTTATGAACAGTTATGAATATAGGATTATTTATTGACAATTTTCCGAATAATTAAACAAACAATCAACTTTTTATTCATTTGCTGACCTCAAAACACGAGTGCATTACCATGAAAAAATTGAAATTTAATTGACATTAAATTCTTTTCACGGAAAAATTAATCAATAATAATGAATTAATGACAATAATAAATAAATTAATAATAATGTATTGATTTTTGTGGAATACATTAATTTTCATGGAATAATTGAACTAAAATTCCCACTACTCATAGATTCATCCCAAAAACGTTGAATTTTCATCAACGAAATTCACGTCAATATCAGTGAACCTCCACCCTCATAAGAATTTCCAAGTGTACCGGAAATGTTGCCCCTAAAAATCCCATAAAAACCAGAATATCTCGAGTCACCTTCCCCAACTGAATTTCAGAAAATGTTTTACCATGCACAAACATACCTTATCCATCAACTGACGCACAATTCCGTTCCACTCGCCGGTCTCGTAATCGTAAACACCGTACTTGCCATCGGGTACTAGCTCAATTCTGTACGTGAATCCCACCATGCGCGCTATCTCCCTCAGCAGATCGATGCAGAATCCCTCGTACCGTTCATTACCACTGAAATTTCCCGAGTTCCTCAGCATAACGTATGGCTGTTCCTAAGAGAATCATAAAAAATAATACTTCCAACAACTCGTATGCCCTCGTATCCATCGGAGCCACTGTAAATCCTCGTCAGTCTCATAATCTTTTACGATTTCTGTTACTCCTCGTATCGGATAACTCTTTATTTCGACTGTGATGAAAAAATTTCTGGTGTGAATTGACTCTAACGAACCAAAACGAGAAGTTACCCTTCGAAATTATTGAAAAAATAATATGCCATCATCTACTGTGAGTGGGACAGTACATCAACGCCTAAAGTTACCCCGAATACATGTGTACAGCAGCAGAATTTCGGCAAAACTAAATTGTCACACATGGGGAGAAGCTCAAGAGATACTTTACTGCCTAACAGCGATAAATCTGGGGCTACGGGGGACGGAAAATAAAAAAAAAACTGAAAAAATGAAAAAACAAACCAAATCATACATGTCGCATGAGTTCACGGACCATGCCATTCCACTCGCCCGTCTCAGGATCTTGTGCACCGTATTTACGATCAGGTACTAATTCCAGACGATAGGTGAAGCCTACCACTTGTGCCACTGCCTCGAGCAGATCCATACAAAAACCGTAAAATCGATCGTTACCGGTGTAGTTTTTTCCGTGGTGCATCATCACGTATGGTCGCTCCTGTTTATCGACATAATTTTATTCTTTTATTGAAGTGAGTGGAATTATTGAATGGTGAGGGCGAAGCGACAATGTGAGGGGCGAGCAGCATTTCTCAATTTAGTTTTTAAATGTGAAGAGGCATTGGGCGGACCGCGGACAACCGATTGAATCTACATCGAAAGGAATCATCCCCTTCGCGAACGCTTTGTTGTGCATTTGGTGGGAGCAGAAGGGTGCGCTGGATTATGAACTCCCGCCGCCAGGAGAAACAGTCAATGTCGAATGCTACAGTAACCAATTTACTCATTTGAATGAAGAAATGGATGAAAAAACGAGCATTTACTGACAACGGACGTAGACCAATTATTCAGCTACATGACAACGCTCGATCTTATATTGCTGAAGCGACGCAAAGAACAATTATGGAGCTTGAGAGGAGGGTTCTACCTCACCCGGCGTATTCCCCAGATATCGCGCCTTCTGATTACCATTCGGTCAGATCGCTTCAACATACCCTCATTGATTCACAATTTCGAAAGACTGCACTACAAAAATTCGGCTCTTATTCTAAGAACCAAATGTCGCGATTTTTAAGATCCAAATGTCGCGATTTTTAAGTACTGAAACAAGTCTTGATTTAAGACCCGAAAGCGATCTTATTGCTAAGATATCATTGGAATCTTAATTATTATTTTGGGGGGGGGGGTTTCCAGAAGAGAAAAATTAGATAGGAGATTTAGAATCGGAGATAGGACCCAAAAACTGAAATTTCCGTCATTTTTTGGGTCCTATCTCCGTCAATTTACGTCAAAAGTGAATTTGACCAGGACAAAAAATGTGGGGAATGAGCTCAACTTTAATGCCCACGAGAGAAAAATGAGATAGCACCATTAGAACCGGAGATATTTCCAAAAAACTGAGATTAACATCTCAGTCACTAAAGTCAGTTTTTGGGTACTATCTCCGTCAATTTCCGTCAAAAATGAATTTGACCAAGACAAAAA